CCTTTTGAGAGGTGTTCTTCGTTTCTTCTTTCACCTTCTCAGAGCTGTAACTTCCTTGCCAGTTTCGGTTCTTATTGACAGGGAACTTCTTTCGTGCAAACTTCTTTGGGTTGGTGACCATCATTGCATATTCTTCGCCAGTAAGGTCACACTCAGACATATCTGAATCCTCCTCTTCTTCTGCCACACTTTTACCTTTTGAGACAAGGGCCAACGATCCCACACCCGAAACTACCTTTGCCTCCTTGGTTACCACACTTTCATGGGATTTAAGAATACCCATCAGTTTCGCTAGCGAGTATGATTTAAACTGTTCATGAGCTTTCACCGTTGAAACCACTGCCATCCATTCTGGTCTTAAACCATTCATGAAGGTCACCTTTTGCTCAATCAATTTTCTTTCAATGCCATGCTTGATCATCTTGCTGAGGAGATGATTGAAGCGATCGAAGGTCTGTATCAGTTTCTCTTCAGGTTTCTGTTCGAAAGCTCTAAATTCTGAGAGCAACAAGGTTTGGATCGAGTGTTCTAGATCCTCATCGGTTGAGTACAATTCTTTTAACCTATCCCAGATTTCTTTAGCCGTCGTGCATGAACCGACTAAACGAAAAGTGTCAGATTGCAATGCGAATCTGATCATTCTCATGGCTTTCACGTTACATAGCAGCTTGTCCTTTTCATCCTGTGGCATCTTCTCTACGTCCGCCAAAAGCTGATTATATTCTTTTTGAGTCTTCACTGTCCTGTTCGTTCCAGAGTGAACAAACGGCCCAATCGTGATAGCTTCCCAGATGAGATAACCATTATCTTCATATCAAACTACGTAATCTTCAAAGTGATGCGTCCACACTTCATAGTCTTGAGTGTAAAGAATGGGAACCCTTGTAGTGGATCCAATGCTGTTGGAGATGTTGATGGGATTAGTTTGAGAATAGTCGTGAGACATGATGAGCCTTTCCTTGGAACTGCTAGAACCAGACCTGTAAACTTGAGATTAGGGTTTTATCAAACACAAGAGTTACCGTCGACAGGAAGAAGACGACTTCTTTATATTCGATAAAAGCGGAAACCCTAAAGAATTCTTCAAACAGAAGGAATGTGGATTGATCACACAGTCTCCTACTCTGATACCAATTGTTAGAACAAAGTCCTAGTAGGATCGATTGATTCTAAGCAGAAAAGCAATAAATAACGTAATAAAGAACACAGGAATGGTTTAACTGATGTCGAATGATTAAGCTTTAACACCTCAGAAGAGCTCGATTAAGAACTTCGACTGTAGAGGTGTTTAGGGTTACAAAGCAATAATAATTACTATAACGATCGTATCTAAGGCATACATGCATGCACTATAAATAGCTTAACCCTAATCAATAATCACGGATGGACAGGCCCAATCCGAATATACAAAAACAAAGCCTATGACGCAACACAAAATAACCAACATACCTTCCAGCTCCAACTCGTCGAGTCACTCTTCCGACTCGGCGAGTTGGTCACTTGACACGTGGTCCAAACCCGCTGCTACTGGACGAGTCATGCAACCAACTCGTCGAATAGACCTTGAATTCATGAGAATTCATAACCATATATTGGTATTCGAGAATCGGGGCGTTACAAGTCGTTAGCTCTGATACCAATCTGTCACACCCCGACGCTTCACTGGCGGACGGGGTGTGACTATTAGGTTGTGGTTTCATTCTTAAGCTTGGCTAGCTCTTGCCTTACAACTTTATTTTTCGCAAAATAACAATCATACAACACTCATAATGTGTAAAATAGTTCAAACTTAAAAATGTCATATCAAATTGAAAAATCATGTCAATTGACTGTAGAAAGTATAAATTACAAGTAGCAATTTGAATTTATTTTTGTAGCATCATAAATGCAAATTAAAAAATCATGTTACGATATGGGAATGTTAAAACAGACAGCCGATTCCATTGAATTCCTTTTTTAACGGAGAATCCTATTATTTTTCCAATCCAAATAGCAATATAAACCAATCAAAACCATTATGAAATCAAAAAGATTGTTATTAACATAATCATCCAACATAATAAAAAAGATTGTGATTAACATAATAAAAAAATAGTAATTAGCTATTTAGCCTTAAATTAAGGATCCATATCTTTTTAAACAAACCCCACCTATGCAAATTTTGAAAATGACCTAAACCAATATAGAATCAATCGGTTTAAGCATTCAACAACCAAAAAATTTGCACCTTATCAATAGAGAAGGAATGCACACATATGACAACCCATTTCTAAATTCATATAAAGGGTTTCTAGTAAACAGAAATCAATTTCCATCATTCAACTTCAAATAAACATAAAAAATTTTAGATTTCAGAAATCAATTTCATATATAAACATCCATTATTCAAGAAAGGTGCTGAAGAAGGAAGAGAACGAAGAGAACCGAAGAAAGAAGAGAACTAAAAAAATTACTTCATACCTATGGACAGTAGTCGTGGTTCGAAAGGTGGTGGTCTCTTGGACAACGACGATGGAAGGAGATAACGGCTTGGGCAACAATGGCTTCGGCCTGAAGAATCATTGGCGACAACAAGCAGATCAACAACAACAACCACATGGAAGGGTGGCACCGACAAAGAATAAATAGGAAGGGTTATCGGTGGAGAAGAGAAAGAACCATTGGGTGTGATTTTTCCAATAAGCATGTTTTTTGCCTTTAGAATTAGTGGAATATGTAGGAAGAGGATAGAAGACATAGATCCACATATGCGCCAAAAAGAGGACACGTAGACTTTTTTAGGTCTGTGGTCTTCGAAAAGACAAACAGTCCCCATGCTCATATGTTTGTGTGTTGTCTGTGTGACGCATATAAAAAAGGTCAGAAAGAGCATTTACAAATTGACCATGTATTTAATCACTCGAAATATAATGAAAAACTTTTGAATGCACATAGAAGTTTGAAATTAATCTATTATAGCATAATAACTTGTATCATGTATTCTCCTTTTTAACATCTTCCGTTACATACTTTTTTTATAAAACAATATATTAATTAAATTTGGTACATATCTTTTATATAAAAGTGTTTGGTTTAACTTATATCTTTATAGGCTAATGGAAATGAGAAAACGATGGATATTAACTAAGGAGATGTTTGATTTTTAAGATGTAAAATGTATATAGTTTATCAACCACACATAAGGGATGCACCAAACGTCTGTAATGTGTAATAAGAAGATTGTTTTTTTTTTTTTTAAATCTACAGACTGCTAAAATAAATTGAAAATATTAATAAAAAGTTCTAAAAATTAACATAATAAATCAAATTTCGGATTTAAAAAAAATAATCTTCAATTTTTTTTAAATGAAGATTTTTTATTTTTCTTTTCAAAAAAAATGAATTTTTTAAAAAAAATTGAAATTTTTTTTTTAAAACTGCAATCTTTTTTAAAAAAACTGCATGTTTTTGTTAAAAAAAACCTATATTTTTTTTCAAAAAAACTGCACTTTTTTTTAAAGTGCAATTTTTTAAAAAAACTAAAGAAAAAATGCAATTTTGTAAAAAAAATGTAATTTTTTCAAAGAAAACTACAATTTTTTCAAAAAAAAACTACAATTTTTTCGAAAAAAAACAACACTTTTTAAAAAAAACTGTTTTTTTTTCAAAAAACTGCATTTAAAAAAAAACTGCAATTTTTTCCAAAAAAAACCTCTAATTTTTTCAAAAAAATTGTATTTTTTTTAAAAAAGTAAGTTTTTAAAAATCAGTAAACTTACAAAAAAAAAACTAGAATATTTAAAAAAAAATCTAATTTTTTAACAAAAAAAATCAACGTTTAGTTGCATATATGCATATTTTTTTCAAATGCATATATGCATATTTCTTATACTATAATATTCATATTTTCTTCAATTTATTACTTTTCACCTCTTCAATATTTTCTAACAAATTCTTCAAAATCTACGAGAAAATTAAAAAAAATGATTAATGCAAAAACACTCACAAAAATGTACATGTATATATCATGTAAGATTCACATGTGATTATGTCATATAAGATTCACATGTGATTATGTCATATAAGATTCACTTGTGATTATGTCATGTAAGATTCATATGTAATTATATAATATGATATTCACATATGATTGTATCTTTTAATATTCAAATGTGAAAATTCACAAAAAAAACTTTAAAAAATAATTAATGAAGAACACTCACACAAAATGAATGTTTGCATATAGACGTAATTCATATGTGATTTACGTGTGATTTATATGTGATTCATATGTTATTCACTTGTGATTTACATATGAATCACATGTAATTGATATGTGATTAATATGTGAATTACATGTGAATCACATATAATTAATATGTGATTTACTTGTAAATAACATGTAATTCATATGTGATTCACTTGTGATCTACATGTGAATCACATGTAATTGATATGTGATTCACTTATGATTTACATGTGAATTACATGTGATTAATATGTGAATTACATGTGATTTATATGTGAATCACATATAATTCATAAGTGATTCACTTGTAATTTACATGTGAATCACATGTAATTGATATGTGATTCACTTGTGATTTACATGCGAATCACATGTGATTTACATGTGAATCACATGTGATTTACATGTGATTCATATGTTAATTAAATGTGATTCATATATTAATTACATGTGATTTACATGTGAATCACATGTAATTCTTATATGATTCACTTGTGATTTACATGTGAATATGTCATATTATATTCAGATATGGATATATCATATAATATTTACATGTGAATCACTTGTGATTTACATGTAATTCATATGTGATTCACTTGTGATTCATATCATTTTATATTCATGTGTGAATTTATCATGCAATATTCACATGTGTATATACCACATAACATTCATATGTGAATATCTAACCAACTAGAATTTCAGGGAATTTAGTAGTGAGGATTTTTATATGTGTTTAAATGTTTGCATTCCAGGGTGAAGAATAAATTTACCTTCCAGGAATAGGCTTCAACTTTATAAAGGCATAAGGCCCGAATTCATAAACGGATTCCCTTTTCCATCCTACAAAAATGCAACAAAATATTATGTAATAGTAAATGAGTATAAAAATGTTGTTGTTATTATTATTATTATTATTATTATTATTATTATTAATTATACCACATATTCCTTCAATAAAGGAACCATTTGATCAATTTCTAATGTAGTTTCCCAAAATTAAGCTTGAATTCAAAATAAAATAAATAAAAATAAAGTGATTACATCTATGGTAGCTCTATAAATCAATTAAAGGCATAGTTAGAAATCAATCCAAGAGATTAAAGCATTAATTGTTAAATTAAGAAAACCAAGGCTAAGGAAAGGAAAGAGTCATGCATCAAGATTGGAACTTGTTGTGTATAATTGGCCAGAAAGTGTTGCGATCAAGAACCAAGGAAATGAGTATATATTAAAATTTAAAGTACTATGTGAAAATACCAAAAAGGAAATGACTTTTGTTATATATCCACGACTATCAATAGGAAGATGATCCACAGGTACTATGTGTAAATAAAACCAATGGAAGTTTTGGTAAAACTAAATTGGTCAGGTCACCAATGGAAGCTAGAAAGGCAGACCAGAAATCACCCACAGCTGGACGCCTGGGAAAACAGTGGCAAAAATAAGAAAATATGAAGATTTTAATTTAACATTAAATACTCAATTCAAGAAACTTAACACTTACTAATGCTTCAAAATTTTCACCTTCACCCCTGGAAGCTTAGCGAAACCAGGCCAAATTGTCTCATTTGGTGTCCCTAAGTATTTTGAATATATGCAATCATTACTCATTCACTCACTAACTACAGACTATTTATTATCAAGGCTAAAATAGTAATAAAATATGGTCAACTTACCTTGTCAAGCTGGTCAAACTCTGTTTTCCCATTGAATAACGGTTGCTTAGACAAGAGTTCAGCCATGATACAACCAAATGACCAAATGTCAATTGGTGTCTCCTTACGTCATTTGCTGTAGAATATTCTTTTAATTGATGGTAAGATAATCCACAGGTACCAATTCTTAATAATGTCTCTAACTTCACCTTTTTCACTATCTGAATGCTTTTTTAGCAGCAACAATCACTTCAATTTCAGATAAAAAAATCATTTCCCATAGCATGGTATCAAGCGATGAATGGAAGTTTGAGAACAAAAGTTTATAGAGCAATTGACAAATTCTTCATTAGAGTTAGCTTTCCCATAGCATGATAACACTAAGCACTAATGTAATTCTTCTAGCAGGAATGAACATTTTAACAAATACAGTACCAAATCAAGGTAAAAGCTTCAAATCAAACCTAGATACATAAAATAAACCACCTTCAAAATCAAATAAGAACCAATATCACTAGCACATAGACAAAAAAGAATATATCAAACAGTAAAATTGTATTTCAAAACATTGCTATGATAATTGATAATTGATAGGTACATAAACATTGTTATATTTTGTATTTATCTGTAATAATTATAATAATAATAATGAAAATAACAATAAATAACTATATGATAAAATAATATTGTTATGCTCTTTAAATCTAGAAATTTTGTTTAAATTGTACCAATATAACCGTTTGTTGCACATCCAAACAGTTTTGGGTGCTTAGTTGGCATACATTGTCCATGTGGCGTCCATTTGGACTCCAAAACAGACTACATGTTTCAATGACTAGGAAAAGAATCATATATGTTTTAAATGAATCTGAAAGAAAGTCGTTTATTGAGCCCCCAAAATGTTTGTTTATGAAACTATACACTTAAATGTGCATTTTGAAGTATAATCCCCAAAATGAACCCTGACATAGAGTACGTTCTATTTTCGTGTGACTTGTCCTCTTAAAAAAAATGTCATGTCACTAGCACCAAATTAGCATTTATCATGTTATTGATTTTTAAGCCCTAAAGTGTGTTTTTGAAACCATAGATCCTTCAAAGTATGATTTCCAAAATGAACCCTAACATAAATTTATAGTACTAGTGTGCATGAATCATGATGATTTGGTTCTTATGTTAAAGGTCAAGCTTCATCTGTCTTCCATCAATGTCTTTGCAGGTAACATTATTACATATTACAATGAACTGTTTATGTTTGCATCACTAATCATCCAAATATCAAGGTTTGCTCTGAAATCATTAGAATGCTTCTAGGGATGAAGAATTTGTACGCATGTTTAATGTTTTAAACCCTTAGGGCAGATTTCCATATGATAAGTAACAAAAGTGCTCAGTAGAATGCTTAAGTTTGTTATTATTGGTTCAATGGAATCTTTCCACCTCTTAGCTGGACAAATTAATTTTAGATGAATCAGGCCTCTATCATGTCTCTAACCTAAATTCTCCATTAATCCTAACATTTTACAGGGCAATCAGGCTATGCACACCATTCCCAATGAAGTGACAAATGCACATAAAAGTGTTGTTACATGATATGTTCACATTTGCGTATAATAAATGAAATTTCTTATAAGTGTAACATACAAAACTCTAATAAATAATGTTGCACCTGATTTCCTGCATATCTTTATTGAATTGCTTTGAGCTTTGGCTAGAGGTTTTGCATTGCCAGAGTTGACTCAACCTTTTAAAGAAGTGAACTCGTCAAACAATAGCAGTAGAAGATAATATATGAATGAGAGAGGAGGATCACCTGTTGCTTTGTCAACGGCAAGGTTGTAACCTTGACAAGAACAATCAGCAATATAATTGCAAATCCATAGGAATATGGAACATGAACAGTAGTTAATCCATCTTTCAGTACATGGTTAAGATAAGTGCAAATGAAGATAAGGTACTGGTCAAATATTTCCACTTCCTAATTAGATAATCAAATCAAATTAACTGCTAAGCAGATAGATCATCTAGTCAAACTAAATTAAGTTCAAATTTTCACCAAACAAAACTAAATCAATCACTAATCCTAAAAACTACAAAGATATCGGAATAAACTTCCTTCAAAACAACTTCTATATGCGATTTTTTTTCCTAGTCATTTAAACATATCACTAGCATATAGACAAAAAAGAATATATCAAACACTAAAATTGTATTTCAAAACATCAAAATCAGGAATCAAATTGTTAGAGACACAGGAAGGAAGACACATGTTGGTAAGAGCGAGTATCCCAAGCCTAGCAGTTTCATCAGACGAGCTTATGAGGTCCATCAAAGCTGAGTGAATGCACACATTTTGTGCACTGTATTCACCTCGATTAGATCGATGAAGGAACAATAAATTAGTTCAAATCTAGACAAAATCGTTGATGCGCAGAGGTTGTACATTATGATATGTAAATTGTACCATTTAACTCTTTTTGGATCAACAATGGTGTCGTGATGCTAGAGAAAGCAAACAGAGGTTTACCAGAATCTGTCCTGTGTTCGTAACCACCACTGTCTTCCACCTCCCGGCTTACTCTTCGGTTGCTCACACTTCGGTTGCGATGACAGGTGTTCTTGAGGCGGTGATGGTCTAGGTTCATCATTGTCTCTATTTTGTTCCGATAGCGTAGAAGATGACCTTTTCGACTGGAGATTCGTTGCGACGCCATCATACGGTGGTGGTTTGGGAGAACGAATCGACTAGAATATGTGAGAGAGAAGTGACGATGTAGGGAATATACCGATCTAGGGGTTGTGTAGTGAGTGAGAGAGAGAGAGAGAGTGTGTGTGTGTGTGTGTGCGTGTGCTTTAAATGATTTTTGAAATAAATAATTCATATACCTGGCAGTTAACTTTCACTAATTCAAACTGTTGCCGCACAGTTAACTTTCACTAATTCAAACTGTTGCCGCACAGTTCTAATCGTTTGGTAAAAATGGTCCCTTCCTTTTATATTTAAGTCTTGGCTCACACAAATAGTTTGAGGGATTGACAGTTTAGTACCTTGGTCCTTCCATTTCTTTTACCGACTCTCTTACCCAATAACAATTAAGATTGGTGTCCATACACATGTTCATCAACGCTTTTCTCTTTGATTTCTCTTTGATCCACCGCCTGCAAGTCAGATCCATTCTCCCTCTTCAATTTTTCGATCTAGACAAATATCGACGAACACCATCTCTCACTGCTTTTGTCATTTCTTACAAACACACCCAATCGCATAGGAAAGTCGTAAAATCGATTTCGATCGGCTACGCGTTTATCTCCACTCTCAATTGCAATTGCAAATAAGTCCACCACCATTATATATATATGGTATATTCCATTGCAATCTGCCCATCGGCCGCTTCTTGGTTGAGCTTCAGTTCAGCTTTAGACACCGACAACCTCAAATCCCAACCTCACATTGTCGTCTCAGTCTCACCCCTCGCCACCGATCGTCTCCCATCGCAACTTCCACCTCCGAAAATCTCCACCAACCCCGTTGTGATTGAATCGTCGTTGCTCAACCACTTCATCAATGGTGGCACCGATGGATTTTTTTGTTAATTTTTTTGGATTTTCATTTTAATTTTGTTTAAAATTGATGATATTTAAATCAATTTAATCACTTTTTGCAAAAAGTCCGATACAATTCCGGCATGTCATACCTCATGCGTACCAACACCTACTCAATCTCCACCACCCCCCATTAACGTTAGTTTCATAAACACTGATGTCCTGAGAGTATTTCAATCACCAACTCTAAGAAGAAAAGGAGTGTTGCTACGCTTTATGTCAGGTCAATTCAATATGTATTTTCTGAAATAGCTTCATTGTATTTCCTCTTTCATTTCATTCAACACCATAATTGTGCAAATGATGTAAGATGAGATCAGGGCTTTGTGCTTAGGCATTGAAGTTTTTTTATCTGTTTTATACTTTTGATGCAAAGTATTCACAATTACGAAGTTCCCCTGCACTAATATGTTGGTATATTGTGGCTTATAGGAACGAAATGAGAAGTATGTGTTTTTTTATGAGCTTGCTTCAACCTCCATAAATATGTTCTTTTGTTTGTTATCAAACAGACACATAACAAGAAGAAGATGGCTACCAATCTTCAGAGATTTAAGCGGTTTTGTTTCATATTCATCAACAACTCCGCTCCTCAATCTGGATACTTTTATTGTATGAACATTTTTCTCTAATTACTTGATTCATATTTTTGATTATCCACATGTGGGCCATGTAGGTTTAACTTAATCATCTCTTCTAAATTTGCAACTTTGTAATTGTGAAAATAGTGTTGCTTCTTACATGACTTTTCATTTTGATTACTATTAATATAACAAATTTAGCTATTACATCCACATTGGTAGTAAATTAGGAACTAAAAATTCACATTTGGAATCACAATTTGTATATATTTGGGGAAGATGTGGGTTTTGGTGGCATCTTCAGTTGGACTCAGCTTTCAACCAACATTAAAGTAGGGTGAAGGGAGACCGGTCAATCCCACTTTGTTCTTTACGAATTTATTTTTGCAAAACAACTGTAGTTTTGTTCTAGCGGGGAAAAAAGGAAACTTGATATGTAATGTAGTTTAGGAAAAGAAACAATGAAGCTCCTCCAGTGTCACAAAAAATGTGCACTTGCTGTTGGTGGTAATTTCTATCATGTCATAACACCCCATTTTTCTCATTCAAAAAGAATTCAATATAAACCATCGTTTATAAATTTTGAAGTAGAGATATATTACTTTTAGCCAAAGTAATCACCATAAACATGTAAGCATCAATACGATTTCTATACATATATAGAACGCCCGAATACTACTTCGTATAAAGAAGTTATGCTTCTTCAAAGTTACGTGATTTAAACCGACACAGCTATGCGTGTCGTAAAATACGAATCGAATATAGATTACTTATTAGCATTATTGATCTAAACGAAAGTCGTAGACTCGTAGTAGTCGTAAAACCGAGAACGTACATATAGAGAACGTCCAAATCTGACTTTGTATGAGGAAATTATGATTTTTAGAAGTTTCGGTATAGTAGTGCGCAACATAGAAACCGATTTCACGACCGGTCGATTGTTAGCCAAAAAATCTAAACGAGCACTGAAGATCTCGTAGATATAATTCCATCAATATAAAGGCAGTTAAGAACGGATGACGTACAAAAGAGATGAATTTTAAACGGAGTTTAGCAGTCTAAGCCTTCTAAAATAATAAATTAAGAATAAATTGAGAATTAGCCGACAGAGTCTAAACGAAAGTTGTTGATCTCGTCGATAGCTACGCGTGGATACAAAGAACGTAAAAAACGGAGCTCGTATGAAGAATTTACAGAATTTACAAAAAATAGAAAATTACGCGCGTACACGCGCGCAACCTTCTAGAAAGTGACACGTGGACCACTCGAAAAGTTACACGTGGCACCCCAGACACCATCCAGGTGCACGACGCGCTTGGTAGGTATGCGCAGCGCGCTTACTCGAAAAATTGCCTATAAATACCTTTGAAGCCTCATTTCAACCCTCCACACCACCAAAACTTCTATATGGTATTTCCATTCCATAATTATGAAAATTCTTAAGTATTTAGGGTGTTTTGGCAAAGCTATGGGGACCCTGAGTGCCCGAAATTAGTAGCTATCTGGCCGGAGTTCTGCGAGTGCAATTTCCGGACTTTTGTAAGGGAAACTCTCTATAAGTAGGCTACACTTATTACGCTTAAAGTGTAATTTATATTTATTCATCGTCGTTGTTATAAATGGATATACAATATTTATCAGTAATTCTAGTTATAATGTTGATTGATCTACTTACGGGAGAGGTGTCTAGAATGGTCATGTTGGCTTGGTTGTTGGATTTCAGAAAGGCTATACGTTCAAATGGTCCTGCGCCCAACTGTCCGGTATGGCCGATCCTTATTTGATAAAACTCTCAGTATTCCTTGGAATTAGTGAAAGATCTAATTTTCATTTCTAGATCATCATAGGGATTAATCGGTTAAAGTATTATAGGTTAATACTTCTTCAGCACGCTATCCGCTAGTTGGATTGCCAGTATGATCACCCAGATAGCTGTCGATCGTCTGAATAATTGTCCAGGTGAGTTATCTCGCTACACCGCGTACTACAATATATATATCCATGTATGTTAGGATAGGGAACGAGTAGAGTATAGCTAGTAGTATAATCCCTATATGTTTAAGTGTAAACTAGTAGAGTAAAAAGTATAATTATGTATGTATTAGTAGAATTTAAGGTGTGGTCTCTATATGCATAATTGTTGTAACATTAGACTTAGATAGAGGATGACGGGGGAACGGTTAGTGAGGCCAGGAGCCTATAGGCCCATGTAGATTTAGTTAGGGGGTGATAGTGGAATGGTTAACGAGGTCCGGAGCTTATCCCAAGATACATATCTTAGTTGCAGATCGGGAGCCATTGTTTTTATGCATATATATGTATTGTGGTATATGGTAGTTTGGGGAACTCACTAAGCTTCGTGATTACCCAGTTGATTATAAATGTTTTTCAGGTACTTCATTGACATGCAAGAAGGGTAAGGTTCGACTGAACACACGCTCATTCGCGACATGTTTCCGCATAATGTAATTACACTATGATATATTTTAATAAATAAAAATGAAAAAAAAATTGGATTGAAAATCGGGACATTACAAGTTGGTATCAGAGCCCTGGTTTGAGAGAATTGGATGAACATTTGTGTGATTCCAGACTCAAGCCGAGGATCTAAATATCTTAACAATCTTTTTAAGAAAAGGAACTTTATTCAAAAGAAAGGAATGAAATGCGTACACTCATCCGAAGCTTAGAAAGGAAAGTGATTCCCAAAATATCCATATTGTTATATTTAATGATATATGAACTGATAGAAATGAATGCTAGTATATAGGCCAGGGGTCTTTTCAGGAATTGTAGATTAGAATTGTCTGATGCTTAAGATGCCTTATAGCCTAGTAAATTGCTTGTTATTTTCTGCTTAGAACCAATATTGATGTTGATTAGTTATTTGAAAAATACGTCGGGTTGCATGCTCCTTGAATTAAGTAGTTTTAGATTGCCTGACTCGGTGCTATTATGCAATTCTTGTTTGATTCCAACCGTTGTAGTGTCAGATCTCACAGTCAATAGAGTTTTTGATTTTAGCGGCATGCAATCGTATTTCGTCTGATAACTAGTTAGAGTTGGTAGAAGTTCTTCCTCAGCTAATAGTAGGGTGAAGTAGAAAGGAATCCTAGAGGGATAGTCTAAGAAGTTTAATATATGTTTGATAGGGCATGTAACACCTGTGTTCTAGGTACTTTTAATTTTTGGCTTTAAGTATAAAAATATTGCAATTTCAGCCCTTATGTGGGGCGTACCTTATGGGTACGCCAAACGTAGTTCATTAAAAAGGTGATGTGGGTTCTTTTTTGTACGTTGGGTGTACGTATGAGTACGTTGGACTTATTCACGAAGATCACAAACCCTATTTAAAGGACATTATAAACTTAAGCCCTCCCTTACCTTCAACCTCCATCTTCTAAACGGCCCCCTTGCAAACCCTAACTTTCCTTGGTAAGATTTTGAGCTTTTTGAGTATTGTGTGTCCATTCTTGAAGGAGTGAGATCTTTAGAGTGCACTTGGAAGTTCCAAACAATTGTAGATCTTGGAT